GGAAGCCATTCTGGCAGTAGAGGAGAAAGTTCCTACTGTGCTGTCAGGGTTTCCTCAGTTGCAGGTAATTTTGCTACTGAACATGGTGTATTCAGGTGCTAGAGGTCAATCCCAACGTGATCATCTCCCCATGCTTTGTAAGTCACAATTTTGTGGCTGGAATTTCTCTCTTACCTGTTGTTTTTTTAAATTTGTTTTTAGGTGTTTAAAACCAAAATGAGCAATATGCCTACAATTAAGAAGTTCCTGCAGCCTGGCAGCCCGAGGAARCCCCCACCAGATGCCCATTATGTAGAAACTGTATTGAAGGTTTTTAAGAAATGAAAGTTTTGCCACCTTGGGTGAGACCCAAAATAATGGAGGGGTGGGCGGAAAGCAGAGCAGCAACTGCAAAACCAGAGAAGAAGGAAGCTCAGCAAATTAGTATTGTTGTAGTTAAAACCAGAGCTAGAAAAACAAAAGCAACCCCTAAGAAAAACAAAAGCAKCTCCTATCAAAAATAAAGCATTCTATTACTCTGGCACTGTGACAGCAGTTTTGTCTTTATTGATATCAAATGCTTTGCAAAACATGAAAACAAAAGGGTATGGAAGCAAAGAGCTCTTTGTAGGGTAGGGAATGTATTCATTTGGAAAAAGAACAATGCAATGTTAGTATTGTCAGAATGTARCTTGCTGGAGAACATATTTTCTGCATGAAAAGAAGCTCAGAGTAAGAACTATGGAAGAGAAGAAAGCAAAGACTCACAAGACCTCTTACCCTTTAAAGAAGTAGTCTTGTTTCAAGTTTCCATTTTTAAATTAGAGCTTGTGGATTAATTGGATTTTTTAAGGTCTCTCTGCAACATTTTCCTTGTAAAACTGTTTATTTTTCTTTATAAATCAAGTATTTCAAATCTATTTTATGACCATACCAGCTCTTCACACACAAGTTACAAATACATGGCCTCTTGAGAGCAAAATACCATGAAATAAAGGTGCAATCTGTTTTGAGAGTCTGGCAAGGCAGAGAARGTTTATTTCTACACATTTAGGACAGAACACAGCAACATAGGTTCAAGTTTCATTGAATTTTGCATGAAAATATTTACAGCTAACAGCTGTAAATAGTCACTAACAGCCCTGTGAGGTGGCCTGATGCAACACAGAAGCAGCTGTCTAGAAGGAAACTGTGTTCCAGCCACTGTCAGTAACCAGATCTGATGTTTAATATTCTATGACATGACTGTAGAAAAAAAAGGATTTAGGAAAAATAGGAGGAAATTAACCTGATATGGAGAAAACAGAGGAACAGCATATTCTGCAATGTTTTGCAAGCTCAGTGTGTGACATTTCCAAAAGTCAAGTTAGGAGACTGATCATATTTGACTTACTTGCCTGAAATCTCATTGGATACCTCTGACAGAGCAAGAAATTTCAATGTTGGTATAAATCACCGTCTGAAGAGTTGTGCTCCTCTCCTGTACCTCTAAGGGAATGCTGAAGGGACTGTCTCCATTTAAACTTTCAACTTCCTTAATTGATACGGAATCATTTTGAGTTGTTCCGCTATAAAGCAAGAGCATGCTCAGGGGTTCCTCCTGAATTTGGACCCATTGGAAGGAGGCTAGATCAGATAAAGATGTCTACAATGTTGGGGGAGATGCGTTTTCCTGAGCTGTCTGCACTGTCATTAACTCTCAGGCTTGAACTCACGTTCTCCTGTGGTGCTGGCACTTGACCTGGGATGTCTCCTAGAGTTTATCATGGCCAGGTCTACAAATGGTGAATCCAGACAAGCTACCTAAGAGTGAGTTTGACTTTGGGAAAAAGTGCCAGATGCTYCTTGGTGCACATGTCAATGCATGCAAAGCTTCAAACTCTGTGTCATGTGTGTCCAAAAATGTGGGAAACGCTATTTCCAGCAGTGCCAAAGGCTAGGCAAAAGACCTTCCCAAAATAAAAGGAGGGGACAGAGGACTCTTTTCTTTCTTATGTTCCTAATGAGAAAGCAGAGCTACAGGAGGTGCTGTTAGCGAGCGGCCCCCTTTTGTGAAGCCTGCCTCTCCTGATGTGCCATATGGGACATGAGTGTTCCACCGGGGACTGGGCACCTCCTAAAAGACAATACATTCCAGTGGTGACTCTTTTGATGCGTTGTCTTTCTCTGGTTCTAGCTCTAAATAAAATATTAATCTTATTTTATTGCTAAGCATGGAACCCATCGATGTAACAGGTATCAACAGTGAGGACTGATGGAATGAGGATCATTTTCAGCTGCCAAGTGCCAAAGTATGTGTACAGGAAAGATCTGAAGGACACAACCCCCTCTAGTGTAAGTGCAGATGATGGCTACAAGAACATTAATCACGTAGATTAGATAGGCAGGATTGATGCATGGGAATATATACTGTATAGATTTTTTCAAATCCATTCAGTTGTCCAAAGAAAGCAAACAGGAGTGCAGAGGGCAGTGTGCCTTCTCATGCCACAATTCATTCACTGTCTCTTACTGTTGCCTTTGGTGTGTGTTTCACYGAGACAAATTCAGGGAAACATTTTTGACAGAAAAAGGAAAAGAAAATCAGCCCAGATATCCAGAGATGAAATTCAGCAGAAGTCTCATGAAGGAGTATCCCCTGTCACTAAACAGGGCATATAAGCTTGTGAAAGATTCGAGCCAAATTAGTTGATGCGACTTATGTAAAGTGGCAATGTGTTAAAAGGAAAAAAACCCATTAAATACAGGAATAAAAGTTTGATTGGTAGCAGTATTTTTTGAAACTGTGTGAGTGTTTCAGCCATTATAATTATGTTTTACTRTCATGATGCCAAGCAATGAAAATAGGAGGCATATTACCATTTTGTGTTGGCACAGATGTTCCCAATGGTCATGACCTTTCCCTATCTTCCATTTGTACATAGTCAGCATTAGTCAGGAAATTATTTTCTGTAGGTGACAAGTAAAAGCAGAGCTAATTGGTCTTATTGCCTAAGAGAGAGAAGCTTCCTGTGTGCAGAGAACTGTTTACAGGAATGTAGGAGTGGCTACAGAGTTATATAATCCCAAAGCAGCAGCGCTAGTGAGAGTTTAGAGCGAGGTTACACTGTGCACAAGGTAGGTGGGTTTTTTACTTGGCCATGCAAAGGGAATTGTATAGGAAACTCTGTAAGTGAATGTCTTTTAAAGATTAAATGTATGTGTGTCCTTTAAAGATTAAATATATGTGTGTCCTTTCTTTACTAACATGGTTATGTGCCCCAAATGTTACCTTATTAGTCAGCTGCATTCGAGGTGTACAGAATTAAGAAAATGAAATGTAAATCTCAGGAGTGGGTGGTTTCACCTTCTACCTACTGTAGAGAAGCCGACATGTTATTTACAAGGGAAATACGGTTGGGGTTTGGCAATTATCCCTTTGCTGCTGTTAATGTTTTGTTGTTGACAGAGTGTCAGTCACTGTGAGTCTGGTGTAAACTGGGCG